AGCAAGTACTTTACGGATAATTTTAGAAGGTTTTTCCGAAATATCATCAACTGCTTTTCGCTTACACGAATTAGAAATAATTTTCCTGTTTAATTTCGGTTCATTTGCTTCATGGCTATGAATTAGGTTGCCTCTGGATACTAAAAGTTCAGGACCAATTGTAAATACAGTGGCATTACAAGCATTTGTTTTTCTTTGGGAGCATCTCCAAGAAACTTCTCCACTTTTCATTTCTCTATCTTTGGCAAACGTAAAATTCTCCAAAAGGAGTACATCTTTCCCGCGTGTGCTTTTAATCAATGTAGCTGACATTATAGAAATAATTATTGTTTATAAACACTCGAATTACAATCATCAACGTTTAAAAACTGACTGAAATATAAACAGTAAACACCCAAAGTAAGTACCTATTAGAATTATTAATAATCAGGTAGGTACCTATTTGTGGGCGGATGTAATTTGCGGGTTTAGGTACCTGAATGCTACTGTGGGCAAAATACCAGTAAGATTAACGCACCCCTTTACTTACACAGCTAGAAAACAGAGATTTGTGGACAAAAAGGACCCGCCGACACCATCGACATAAAGAAAGAAATAATTTAAAAGCGCCACAAAGATTTCCTGATTTTAAACTGTTCGAGTTGTTTTTTTTTTTAAATTAAAATCATTCAAGGAAACCACTATATCTGTGTAGTTGTTAGTATCGGTCCGTCACTTGGGACAGATTAAATTTAGCATCACACACATTTCGTTTGCATTGCCAAATTATGTCAACGGTGAGGAATTTCATTCACGTTCGCTCCTCGATCGGGCGAACGCGTCACGAAAATTGGAAAATCAGGAAAACGCTTGTCCGAAAAATTAAGATTTGATTTATGAGTCGGTTTGGAATTATTATTTCGAATTGAAACGTTTCAGTTTGATGTCGAAATAGATTTTGATTTTGAGCCAATTTGGGTGCATTAAACGATTATTTGTTTAGATGAGTGAAACTTAAAACAATGCGCACCTGGCATTCATCGATTTGGAAAAGTTTTTGACCTTGAATCAAGGAAATTCTTTTTACAACCAATAATTTCTTTTACAATTTATTCTTTCCTTTCAATCGATTCTTTTATATAAACGATTTTTTTTTCTCAAATACGTTTGTCGACAGATTTCAAATTTTGGTGACTTTCTGAGAGCTATTTAAGCTATTTTTGGTGTCTTTATTTAATATATCTGAAGCCAAAATATACATCCACTTGACCTATATCATAATGTGACAAAATATCTTAGCTTCAAATCAATATTTAGACGATTTAATATATTCTGAAAACAGGAAAGTTGATTGTATCTGTATTTTTTTATTTCCCATCGTTCAACAATCCTTAGATATATTTATTTTATCTTAATTTATGAAAAAGCTATTCTGAAAAGTAATGTAGTCTGAATACTATACAGGGTGTCTGTAAAAGGTCTTTACAAAAACATACCACATATTCCTTAGACCAAAATAAGTCGATTTAAGTAAAATTACCTTAGTACAAAGTTGTTTCGTTTGAGCTCCAGAGGGCCTTGAAGTTACAATTTTTAAATCGTTTTTCCCATATAAATTTAAAACGGCATATGCGATTTTGCTGAAATTTGGTATGTTGGTAGAGTTTTATGTGGCAAAAAAAATGGTATTAAAATTTTGTCCGATAATAATACATAGGCGTAGAACTTGATTTTTTAAATAATTGCACCTTTAAAAATTCTACGCCAATGGAAGAAAAGGAGTTTGAGTATGAAATTTAGATTGCGAAACTCATTTACTTTTAAAAATGTACTCTTGATAAGACTCGATTACTCTCATGGTTTTCGCTAAATTTCTGTTTTAATAATTTAGAGTGTATAGGTTTCACAAAAATATTTATGTACAACATAATCAAAATAGGGATTTTACACTAATTGTTCAAAATGTTCACCATTTTCACGCATACAAAGATTTATACGTTGAAGAAAATTAAAATGTATCCTTTCCATAACTTCTTCATCACCTCTAAGATTGTTTATTGCATCTTGAATACGTTGCCAGAGTTGTTCCTCATTTTCTACAGGTTCCCTGTAAACTGTGGATTTCAGATGTCCCCATAAAAAGTAATCCATCGATGTTAGGTCTGGAGAACGTGGTGGGCAGTTTACAGGTGCGTCATTACCTCTGCCTATCCATTTGTGTGGATATTGTTCATTCAAGTGGTTTCTAACGTTTAAAGAAAAATGTGGTGGAGCTCCATCTTGCATAAACTACATATCTCTCCGAAGTTGGAGAGGTAAATCTTCTAACAATTCTGGCAACGTATTTTGTAGAAAATCCAAATAATTTTCTCCAGTTAATCTTCGTGGAAGTATACAGGATCAACAATGAAATTACCAATTATTCCAGCCCACACATTAATTTTGAATTCGTGTTGAAAATGGTTTACCTTTATTGCATGCGGATTTTCAACGGCATAAACATGTTCATTATGGGTATTAGTTATACCTCTTCTTGTAAAACCCGCTTCATCGGTAAAGAGAACCTTCTTGACAAAGTTTGGATCTCTTTCTCTTTGCATATTAACAAATCGACAAAAACCCAAACGAATTTGCAATGGGGTCTATTCTGTAACAATTCCTTTATATTTAACAGCCTTTAAAAATATTGTCGGCCTTTAAACATATGTTCGTATTCGTTAATTTACTTCTGTCATTATTTAAACAGATTTCTTTAAGAGAGTCCTCTAATGTATTTTAAAGATCCGTTTAAGTAATGACAGAAGTAAAGAAGAAAATATTTTTAAAGGCCGTTAAATATAAAGGAATTGTTACAGAATAGACCCCAATATCTTCAAATAAATAAGATAGTTATGGAAAAAACTATTTATTTAAGTTTAAGAACATTTTTGCCCGATTTATAAAAAAAAGGGAAAAGAGATAAATTTTCTATTAGATACCTAGAATATTCATCATAATTTATTTAGTGAATTGTATGATTGCTACACTAATGACAAATTTGTTAAATAAATAACACACCTATCTAATGGGATTTTATTAAAATATTTGTTGTGGGCACGTTTTATCAATAATAACTCATTTTTCTGATAATATACGAGGTGCGTTTTAAAATCTATAACAAAATACATTGTAAATAATGTGATTTAAGCGAGCGAAGCTTTGGGAAAAAGCTAGTACAAAGATATAAAAAATAGCTAAGTTAAATTGTGGGTTTTATGTGTGTCTACAGGCGGTCATTTTTAAAGAACCAGGATGACGTGTTCTGGTCAGCCTAAACGCAACAATTTCTACCTTTGAATATAGTAAAAAAAATAATAATCTACATATATACTTCAAGGCATAAGCTTATGTATATTTTAAAAAACATGGATGATCAATCTATATAACATTCTATATCATTGGCCCTGTATAATCTCAAGGCCCACAGGGTTGTCATATCATAACCTGTCATTACAACCATTTTGTTATTGCTATAATTCTGGAGAAAATGATGAAAACAGCCTACCATCAGTTTTGAAAATCCCTAGATTATTCTGGAATAAGAAGTAATGAAAAAGTTATCAATAATATATGTTTTATTTAATTATTAAATAGTATTTTGTTCATAATTTATTTGTTATGCTAGAACACCTGTTTCTCTCCGAGTTGTATCTATTTACTGACTTTATTTGGCGACCTGTTTACTGTTTCATTCGAAAATGCTGCAATTTTACTGCAACAAAGAAAATTACAAACTTTACCTAAAAAAAATCTAATGGGGTTTAAAAGATGTAGTTGTCGATATAGAGCAAATATAATAGTCATGTAATTCTTTGTTCTCATGAAAAAAGGTGTGCCCTCACACGCGCTGTTCACCTCCGTCTACAAATAGAGACTTTATTCATGGAGGTCATAAATAGCCAAGTTGTTTATTCTGACCTAACCTAATTTCCTCCTATAAATCAGCTAGGTTTAGTTCAGCCAAGTAACCGATCGCGTTATAAATAATAGATTTTAAGGGTCAAGATCGAACTTCATAATTTAAAAATAATATATAGAGTGACAATTTAAAAATTTACAATGTTTATTTTTATCTCTTGAACCAAAGATGATATTAGGCCAGGCCAACTTAAGTTGAATTGTGGATATTGTTAGAGTCATAGCATCCAAGAGGGAACACTTGAATTTTGATCGGGCGGACGCATGCAAGTAGGCGTTAGGGCCCGATAATAACATTTTTTATTTTGTCCATAAATTAATTATATTTTAAATATTGTCTAGTTTAGTTTTTAGAGATATTTAATAAAACCTTGTTAACACGTTATTTGTAAAGTGACCATACATAATGTTATAGTATACAGGGTGATAAATCATTTAAAAACAACTATTTTTAAGTAAATTCGTTTAATTTTTAACAATATAATACTCTGCCGATAGAATAATACTACGCAAGTGTTTTCTGAGTATAATTTCACAAAATTATATAAAACGTACTTCCATTTAAGCCATATTATATACACCCCACAAGAATTATCGCATCACTTATAGTTTTCAAAAATTTGGAGTTTTTTCTGAACCGTTTGATCGATTTGGATATTCTTTTTTTTTTAAGATAAGTTGATTCTTCAGGAATAGTAATATCTTTGATTCTTCAAATAAAATTTAATTTTTGAGCGTATACCGGGTGTAACAATAATATAGGCTTTGGTTGGAAAATTCGTAACACCCTGTGGAGTGTAGCAGCAATATTAGCATGATATATTTAATAGCCTACTTTAGCCTCATCTTTTCGCAAAATTATATTTTTTTGATTGTTTTATTCTCTCTGTTATTAGAGGAGAAATACAGTTTTTTAGCACTGCCTGTTTTTATAAACATACATTGCAAACATTTTAGTGATGCGATAATTTTTGTGGGGTGTATATATTCAGAGAAAAACGTTTTGAAAACTCTATTTTTGAAATGATGTAGGTGCTATATTTGTATACAAAAAATCAACTAACCTTTACTATACAAATTAGCCAACTCCTGAGCTCCTTTGTGCTGGGGGCCCCATCGGGGACCCGATCTTTCTTTTGGTACAGCAGCCACCGTACAATTTGCATTCGGGTCATCTTCCAACATTGAGTTCTCCAGGATTTGCTGCTCAGTCTTCACCGGAGCTAGAAGATTAGTGGCAACCGTGCAGGTGATAGGGTAGACTATTTCTTCTTTCATACGCGGGGAGCAACTCAGTGGTGGAAGAGCCGCCATTGTTGGTTGGTGTAACTGGAAACGATATTAAAATATAGTTTAGTATTTGAGCTCACTTAACGTATTTTGGGGATCCTAATAGAGGCTCTTATTTCTTTAGAAGATTTATCATGTGTTTATGACTAATTTTTTAGAAATATTCACCTATCTGGATACTACACAAACATCTAGAAATATTTGTTTACTAAACGCATGTTTTATTATGTGGTTTAAAGGAAATATCACACACTATAAAAAATAAACAAATTTAATGCACCCAAGTAAGAAAAAATTCGAATTACAATTGATACAAATTAAAATATAAACAGCAAACAACGCCAACCAATGTTGACTAGCTGATAAACTGATTTTAAAACAAAATTAATAAATGAACTAAAATTTAAACAAAAAAATCAATATAATAAATCGGTTTTATAAAAATCCTTAAATAATTATGATTACATATTTCTATAGTCTATTTTTATGTATGAGAGAGTATTAAAATAATAAAGCGTTCGTAATCCATAGGCGTATCACTTCTTTTAGTAGACAGTTAAAATATTTTTTGAAGTTATTCCTCGAGTATACACTTATATTTTCACCTAATTAACCTGCTTATAACTTCTAAACAGCTGAAGGTAAAAAAGTGCAATTTTTTCTAAAATATTTTATTTTTCCACAAGGTATGTTAAAAACATTGTGTCAAACGGGTTATGTAGGTATAAGGGTTTAAACTTTGACTTTTAAACAACGTTACGTTCATAAATAATAATTTTAATATAAAAACTACTTCTTACCTACAAATCCAAATCAGAATCGAAATCAGAAGATAAACTGTCGCAATCAATATTTACAATGAGTGGCTCGATCATTTCATCAGTAATATTGTCCAACTTCCACATTTTCTCTTCTTCTTTAATCGTATGATTTACTGCCTTTTCCCAGTTTTCAGGCTTCACATTATTTACAGCCTCCAAAAACAACTATTTAACATTACTCATTTTAAAAGAATTATTTTTTCTTGAAACTTCTCCCTTTATCTGTACCCATATCAGTTCAATCGGGTTTACTTCGCAATGATATGGTGGTGATCTATCACACGATTTTTTGCAATTTCATCAATTTCATATTTTTTGAATTTCTCTTTATAAAGGGAACGAACACAAATGATACAGTTCTTTTTTCACAGAACCGGGATGGAACTTAATATTCTTTGAATTTAGCCAATTCTGTAAATCTTTTTTTAACCACTTGGTTGTGGGCATTTTTTCTACAAGTCTCGAGTGATAACTTGCATTATCCATTACTATTATACAGTTCTGAGGAAGAAGATCTATAATTTGTTCGAACCACTCTTTAAAGACATCAGCATTCATGTCCTCATGGTAGTCACCGGTACGAGTAGATTCAAAAGTAAATAAACCACCTTTAACAAAACTGTTTGAACTACCGATGTGTACTATTATTAGTCTGCGCCCCTTTCCTGATGGTGGATTTAAACCAGTAGATAAATTATTTTAAAAAGCCTGTCTTCGACTTGTAACAGTTTCATCTTGCCAAAATTTATTTGGTTTATGTCCCTCGTTGATCCATGTTTCATCTAAATAAAATATATTTCTTCTTTGGTTTCTCATTTCTTTTATAATCCTTAGGTAATTTCTTCTCCATACTACAATACCGCTTCTTTCTATTAAAATAGACTTTCTGGAATGCTTTTTCCATAGAAAACCTATTTCTTTTAAAAGTTTCCATAGTGTGCTTCGACTCATTTCAGGGTAATCCTTATCATCTCGAACCGTGGCAAGAACGTTGTCTACTGTCGGAAATTCTTTTCTAAAGAAAAACGCATGCACTTTCCTTCGAAGTCGTTCTTTCAAAAGATTTTCTAATTGAAATGTTGGTTTTCCTGGAGCTTTACGTGCTGTTTGAAACTCGCCACATTTCTCTTCTTTAACAACTCTGTAAATCGTAGATTTCCCAACACCAAGCGTACTACTAACTAATTCCACTGTGTCATCAACACTTTTACATAAATGTTTGTCTGTAAATGATTTAAAACAATTACATATTAATGTTTTTTCATTAACTGTTAAAGGACCGATTTTTTGTCGTTTACGCGGCCTTTCCAAATTTTCCATGATCACACTAGAATTCACACTGCACCTTGCAAGTTGCAACTAAATGACATTTAGTAAACTGTCAAGAATACACAACGTGGACCTCCTTACTAAATGGAAAACCTATAATCGCATTTTCGGTGAAATTTGTAACTTATAATTCGATTACTGTAAGAAATTCTTGGAATTAAGATAAAACAAAATTGGCAAATAGGTACTTAATGAAAATAATCTTAAGATACGGCTATGTAATCTTTAATACACAGGGATTTTGGCCTGTCCAAACCCTTTTCTATTGTTCTGTACAGCTTATGTTTATAAAGGACCAATAAAAAACCCAAAACTTGTAATAGCTCAGGTACATTTATTACAATTTTAGGAAATATTTAGATTATTCTGCAAAAATATTTAAAATGACCGTACTAAGTTTTGCATTAGAAATGCTGTTTTATTACTCTCTCATACATAAAAATAGACTATAGACACAAAATTCGCTACTTAAAAAAAGTTTTTCCATTTCTTTAAGGGAAAAAACAATGACGTAGTGAAATTCCGCTACTCCTGGCAATACCTAACAAAGTTCTACTTATAGACAACTTTTACAAATTTCCCCCTGTAGGGCGCATCACTTAGCTTGAATCGCGAATATAAGAAACTTTTTATTGTTTGTTGTAAGTGAATTTAAATCATTTTTTTTTTATTTCTGGTTAGATGTATGTACCTAGTGTGTCAGTCTTAGTTTGTGTTTGATTTTTAATATGTGCTTTGTGTAGGCTTTGCTACTGTTTCTCGGCGCCACTGTTAATTAGAACCCAACAGTGAATGGTCGAAGTAGGGAATCCTACTTATACATTATAATTATTTTTAAATAATAAAAAAATTCTGGCCAACCGTGGGATTCGAATCTCGGACCCTTAGATTTTCAAGTCCAGACTCTAACCACTGAGCCACTCATTTCCCTAAATTTTTGTTTTGATTATACAATTATTTATGATTTTTTTTTTTTCAGATTGAAACAGTGAATACCAAAACAACTCTTTAAATTGAGCAAAATCACGACCATTAGAAATATTTGAACAAGAACAATCATCATTACAAAGTTTTGTGTAATAGAAGTATCAGCTGGTTTTTAAACATGCCATTGTATTGGGAATTTACCATGGGGTGCGAAATAATGGTACAGAATTGGATTTTCACGAATAATATTTGAAGGTATGTACATTTTTATCTGATTATTCATGATCCGTGGCATAGATTTAATTGAAAAACTACAAATTCAGGATATAAGATCAACTTAAAAAAAAACTTTTTTTTTCCTAAAATGATTTATCTTTTAGATAAATTTTAGATATTGAAATTTTTTTTTAGGTAATTCTGGCCAACCGTGGGATTCGAATCTCGGACCCTTAGATTTTCAAGTCCAGACTCTAACCACTGAGCCACTCATTTCCCTAAATTTTTGTTTTGATTATACAATTATTTATGATTTTTTTTTCAGATTGAAACAGTGAATACCAAAACAACTCATTAAATTGAGCAAAATCACGACCATTAGAAATATTTGAACAAGAACAATCATCATTACAAAGTTTTGTGTAATAGAAGTATCAGCTGGTTTTTAAACATGCCATTGTATTGGGAATTTACCATGGGGTGCGAAATAATGGTACAGAATTGGATTTTCACGAATAATATTTGAAGGTATGTACATTTTTATCTGATTATTCATGATCCGTGGCATAGATTTAATTGAAAAACTACAAATTCAGGATATAAGATCAACTTAAAAAAAAACTCTTTTTTTCCTAAAATGATTTATCTTTTAGATAAATTTTAGATATTGAAATTTTTTTTAGGTAATTTTTATTTATATGTGTTTAGTACTTTTGATCCCGTATTGTTTGGTTTCCTAACCTTGCATGTTTTATTAATGTGTATAATTTTTAAGATTTGACAATAGGAGAAATGAACAAGCATTTTCTAAAATAAATGCAAACTTACCACTATTAAATCACAGAGAGAATGTATAAGGCATTTTGAGTTGGTTCAGCCAAAGTGAGGCACAGCGATTAGGTAGGTATCTGCAAAAAAACAAGTAATTTGTAGGTAACTAATAAGATTTGTTAGTTGTACAGGAATAGTGGGTATTTTATCTAAAAAAAAGAAACAGAATGAGAGAAAAATAATGCGACTATTGGTCTAAATGGTACGACCCAAGCGTGTAAATTACAAGTCTTCGTTTCGTACATCGGTTTATAACCATTAATTCATCATCAATCAGCGTATAAAAGGCGTAAAAAACACCGACCGAAATTAATTGTCGTATTGCAGCTACAATTCTAACGCTATACTCTGACAAAATATTGAAGAAGGTGATTCCTCCCTGTTCACGTACAACAATCGTACTATACCAGAGCATAATGAATGGAATGACGCGCTTAAAACTGCAGAAGTTATCGGTATCACGTGCTAACTAGTCATAACTGCATGTTTATTGCCAAAATGTATCACGCCAGTGGTGTATCAAAACTATTGGCAAATTAAATGCGGTAATAGTAAATAATATTAGATGAAAGTAGGTTGGTTATCTATTTTTGTAGTAATAATCATTTATGTTTATAATTTTGTTTTGTTTATTGTTAAAATATGTAAATATTATGCCAGTGGCGTAGAAACACTATTGGAAAATTAAATGGGGTATTACACTAGAACAAAATGCTGAAGAAGGTGCGCCTTAAAACTGCAAAAGGTATTGTTATCATATCAAAATGCACTCTTCCAGTGTCGCAGAAATACTATATTGGCAAATTAAATGGGTATTTGTGAATATTACTAGATGAAAGTAGGTTGTTTATCTATTTTTGTTATAATAATAATTCATCTATGTTTATAATTGTATTTTGTTTATTATAAAAATATGTAAATTAAGCTTGGTATCACTTACTTGAATTCTAAATCTATGAAGTTTCGTAATCCATTGATTCTGCAGAACTATCACTGGAATCGTCTTTATCGTCGGAACTTAAAGTTATGACTAAAGGTTCAACTACCGTTTCGATCATATCGTCCAAGCGCCACATACCATTTTCTTCCTTAATTACATGGGAAATAGCATTCTGCCAATCTTCAGGTTTTATACGTTCTGTACCGGTTTTTAATAAACGTTGAACGTCGGTTATTTTAAAAGTTTTATTTTGTCGAGCTATAAACCCTTTCACTTGCGCCCAATAAGATTTAATTCGCAGTGATAAGAGGGAAGTTTTAGTACCGTAATACCACGATCACGAGCTATTGTGTCGACAACATATTGAATATATTTATGGCGGTGTTCCTTTATTAGGTCCATTAATTCCACTTTAAGCATCTCCTCAGTAAATGTTATTGCTTTATCCCGCAGCCAGGTTTGCATATCCGCTTTCCTACTGGATATTATCGGAATGCGTTCAACTCGTCGACTGTGATAAGCGTTATCTAGTACAATAACTGAATTTCGTTCTACACGCTGTAATACTTCAGTAAACCATTTTTCAAAGCATTCCGCATTCATGTCCTCGTAGTAGTCTCCTGTTTTTTCGATATAAACACAAGAGCGCTATTTTCCAAAAATCCACTGTCACTTCCGATATGGGTAACAATTAGGCGCTGTCCTTTACCTGATGGTGCTTTCAAACCTGTAGATAATCCCTCTATAAATGCTTGGCAATGACTAGTTACATAAGTATCTTGTCATATCTTAGAAACCATGTGTCCAGCATTCACCCACGTTTTATCGAGATAGTATATCTTTTTTAAGCGACTCTTTAATATTTCGTAAATAACGCCGTCGCCAGGACACTATATCTGACCTCTCAATTAAAATTGATTTCCTACATACGCCCCATAAAATTTTTCGTAAAGTTTCACGGCTCATTAATGGAATTTCTTCGTTTTCTCTTAATTTCGTAAGAACAACTTTAAGTGTTGGGGCTTTGTTTTCAACAAAAAAAAGATTGTACAGTTCTTAGAATGATTTGTTGTTTTTGGTTATCGTCCAGTTTCAACAATTTTCGACCTCGGGTATGCGTTTTAGGGGCTTCTAAGGAGCCTTTTTTTGTCTTTTCGCGTACAATACGTTCAATTGTTGAAACAGATACTCCAGTTAAAAAAGAACTGCGGTTTACAGCTTCATTTGTAGGAAGTGTCTGTTTCAGCCCATCATACACTTTCCATATAATGTTCTTTTCATCCATTGATAAGGGCTTTCGCCGACGTAATTGGGTTTCAGTTGGACCCGCCTCTGAATACATTACTATTGTAACAATATAATTCTACTATTAAATTGTTTTTCTTAAATTTTTAAAGACACCAATATTTTACTATTTAATAAACTTTTAAAGTACCTACCTAATATACTACACAATAAATATAACTCCTCGAATATGCACTACCACTACCAAATTGTAAGGCACAAACATGAACACCTACTCGTATAACAGAAAAGAGCACTTATACAAAAAAAGTGTTTTTAAAATATAAAATAATTATCGTAAATAGTTAGAGCGATACAAATCTAACTTCGTCTAAAGTTAGTTTTTAACTGTCTTTGTGCCTGTGCTGACACTATTCAATCTGTAACCCGTCTGTCGTTTATTTACTTGAAACAGATTCATTTGTCATCGCCTCTAAATATTAGTTTATCATCTTACAAAATGTTACTCTCTATTGCAAAGTTAAAACTGATTTCGACTGATTTAGCGGTTTTGACTCTTTACCTGATCCACACATGTACGGACTTTTTTGTCTGTCTAACTAAATGAATGTAACGATCAACGAAATTGCCAAGAACGGAGATGACACGTTCTTAAAAGCGGTGTTTTTAAAACCATTAAACACAGATAACGAAGTCATTAGGGAATAAATATATTCATTTCTTGAAAACTATCAAAAACGTATATTTAACGCATCATCTTTGTTTAAATAAAGATGTTGACAAACAAATTTAATAAAGTTTACTAACCAATACCTAATAAATAATAAATAATTATTTGGTATTTGATACGGAGCCTATGCTGACTCTGTTACTTTCCGTCGGAATTTTCATTCATAGACAACAGTGTTGATCATCCATATGACTACCTTCTCCAATATTTTGTTCTAGTATAGTTTGAAAATTTCTAGAGTATACTTTTCTGGAATTAGACATGTTCTGTATAACCTTCAGCAAACTCAACTGGAATATGAAATAGTGAAGACAGGAATTTTACTAGCAGTAAATAAATTGCCAAATGTAAAGTGCTTCTATAACACTTTCGTAAGTTCAACTAATAAAACTAAAATTAAGCTTGTAGGACTGCACGAACTTGTCTTAAAGTTCGTTCATACCTACCGAAATTTTGATTGAACCGCGATAGCGGGCCTCTTTGTCTATACCTACCGTTGAATCGTGATCAGTTGACGTTACTCACGCCAAATGAATTTAAAATAAATACTATTACTTTTTACATATCTGATTTATTTTAAGAATGCATACGTTCCACGATTATATATTACTGCATCCTAACTATCGCTTTATAGTTTTAATGTATTGTTTTAAATTATGAATGGTTGATTTGTAATTAATATTTGCTTAAATAAATTGAAATTTTTGATATTTGTATATCTAATTTGTTTTTTTATGTATACAGTATGTCTCCCTCGATTGGAATCATATGGAAAACTTTTTTATTATTAATTTTAGGAAAAAAAGTTATTCTTCATAAATAGTTCTGCATTATCTAAAACCTAGAATACAGTCATCAAATATCAAATTTTTTCAGTGGTATACGAGGTTTGTCAAAAAATATGAGTTTTACTCAAGAGTAAAGTACCTTCAGTCTTTATACGACTGATAAAATTTGATATTTGATGGTTGTATTTTAGGTTTTAGACCATGCTCGATTTTTTATAAAGAACAACTTTTTTTCCTAAAATTAATAATAAAAAAGATTTTCATATGCCGCCTATTTACGTAGACAGTTGGTGGCATAGGAAAGCAACTTTTTATTTTTCTTAGTACTGTTTTCTTTAAAAGCCAATTATAACAAAAAATTAAAATAATTACTACATGTAATTTAGAAACTTTGTCATTACAGTAATTTTTACATAAATTTTTAGTTTGCTTACAAAAAAAAACAATACTTTATCTTGACGTTTTAATACAAAGGATCCAAATTGCTAAATGTTAAAAGAAACTCTACTTTTAAACTCATGTTACAATATTGGTAAATTATTACGAAAGACCCTGTATATATATATAAAAAAAAATTATATGACTTTTTCAAATTCATTATACTTTTGTTTAAACCTTTTTCGCGTACACAAACTGTGAATATCGATAAGATACGAGCTCACTCGATTTATGTATCTATGATAAATCACTTTTTGATTTAAGTCACAAAAACAATCTAATAACACGTGCCAAGACCTTCAGAGAAGATTTTTAGATTTTAACGTACGAGTATATATTACAAAATTTCTTGGTATTTATTTGGTTTAGAAGGGTGACCAAGTATATTTGAAGCCATTTAAAGGTCTAAAATGGGTCAAAATAAATATTTGCAGTGCCCCTGAGGATCTTAATAAATCATTTTAGTATATAGGGTGAAACAAAAAAGTAGGTCCTAATTGATGGAGTAAAAATAGGTCGGTTAGATAAACTTAACTATACAGGATGGTCCATTAGTGAAAAAAGGTCTAATATCTTTTTTTTTATTTGAGACATATTTTAAAATTATTTTCGAATAATTTCAGTCCGGAGCAGACTTATGTCTTTTTTTAAGGGATCACCCTGTATTTTATTTTATATTTGAATAGTATAAGATTACACAAGGTATTTCACACGCTATAACCTGTATACATACCGCAAAATAAACAATTAAGTCAATTTTTTTTTTGAGGTAAAAGTTTTTCGATGTCTGTCAAAATTTATGTAGCAGCACTACTTTTTCAATTCTCAACAAATATGTACAGGGTTAATTTGCCACTCTGTATTTTATATCACCAATTATAATTGCATTTGAATTAAACATTTCATATATCTAAAATTAATAGTTTTGGGAAATTTTTAAAAATAAATAACAAATAAGAATAATAGGAAATAGAGTGTTTATTAATTACTAGTTTTTGATTATTTCTAATGGAATTATCAATGAATTATGAGGTTGGTTAACAGATTTAAGTAAAGGTTGAACCAGTTTTATTCTATTTTAATGTATTTTTGTTTATTGAAATTTATAATAATGCCTAACCTTAAAAACAAATTTTCCTGTAGACTGACAAAATGTAAAAACTTAAATTAAATAAATTATTTTTTATCAAAATATTAAATATATTCTTCACACAGTAGTCTGTGAAAGAGTATTATTGGTTTACTTTCGAGATACCAAAATTTTTAATATTGTCGCGCAAGGCCAACCCTGTGCTTTGTTTACACCTTGCATGTGGTATGAAGTCTAGCGCTGACCATATAGAAAAAAAAAAACGGTACGTGGCCGTAGAGATGGAATTCTTGGACATTCGAGATCGTCTAGAAACTAGTGGTACAGAGCCGGCTTTATATAAATAGCGCGAGTTGTCGACGGACGGGCAGTTTCAATTTAAGTGTTGGATAAAAAAGATAATTGTAATAAATAAATTAGAATTGTGAGTTATAGTAGTGTTTAAGTATTATATAAATTAATTCATAATTGAAGAGTTAAGGAGGGATTAAAACTTTAAAAAAATCATTAAATAAAAACGAAAATCAATAGTAACTTGAAATTTTCAAGAAAAATCAAGCTCTGCAATGGGACGAAGGATTAAGGAGGTTAATATTAAAAAAAAAATCAAAGTAAAAACCAAAAACAATATAAATTTGAAATTATCAGGAAAAATCAAATGGGACTAAGATAATTGATTTTTAAAAAAAATAGGAGAGGGAGATGAACGAAAGGTGCAATTTGTATTAAAAATCAAGCTCTATAAGGGGACAAATCTTATTGATTTTAAAATTTTTTATTAAAAATGGGGGGGTATACATTACATTTTAAAACCAAATTGCTTTAATATGTCCAAACTCGAGGCCTTATTGATTTAAAGTGTCTTTCGCACGAATTGGATCCTAACCTTACAAATTTTACCAGTTTGAATTAAAAAACAGGTAAGTTTTGTATACTACGGTTGCATTTTGTTACATTAAACGCATTTATAACAAATACACTCACCTGAGCACCGCTTATTGAGAAGATGCTGTTTCCGAATGTGGAGGGGATAGAATTAATTTTAATAAATTCGTCAAAAAACCCAATATTTCTTTTAACCAAATTGACTAAATTAAAATCTTTAAGCTTTAAAAAAATGCTAATGTACTCTTTAAAAGGTAAAAATTATATTTTTGGATTTAATGTGGAATTTCGAGTATATCGGCTTAACATAAAATAGTCTTTTTAACGAATTTTAATGAATATATCAAGGGTACACTACATTAAAACTATTTGTTCTAAAATAGATTGTGTTTTAAAATCAACTTGCTATTTAATCGTTTATAATAGTAAACTAGTTTTAAAATAGCCAATGTCAAGAGTACTATAAAACCACTATAAGATCAATAGGACATTAAGACCAAATAGTTATTTTTATTTTTACTTTCCTTTCTATATACAGATAAGGAAAGTATAGGAATCATGATTTTTTTCGACCTCCAGTTTTCGACGGATTTTTACGTTTTGGGGTCCCCTGAATCCGTTTTGACTATTTTCGAGATGATGTCTGTGTGTATGTGTGTGTGTATGTGTGTGTGTCTGTATCCACCATAACTCATGAACCGATACAAAGAAAAACACTAAATTTTAAACTTAAGCTTTATTCCGGCATCCAATGAACTGATTAGATTTTGAACAGAGTCGGAACATCTGGGGGGTACTTTATAGGTGGTCATTTTTTATATTTTATGGAATATATCTATTATTTACGTTTGGAGAAAATTCTTCAAATAAAAGTTACTTACAATATTATTATCTATATTTTTTGTTCTATACAAAATTTTCCTAAAATGGTCCGTATTCGAGAAATTTGACAAAATGTAAAAAAATGATTTTTTATAAAATTTGTTCAAATAAAAGTTATTTGTAATATAATTCTCTACAATTTTTATCCTATACATAATTTCTCTAAAATGAATCGTATTTAAGATATTTGAGAAAATGTGTAAATTTCGAATTTTGAAGAAAACTCAAAAACGGTTAAAGAAAAAAACATTAAATTTTAAACTTAAGTTTTATTTTAGCCTGACGTGAAATGATTAGATTTTGGACAAAGACGGAACATTGGGGGGGGGTACTTTATGGGAGGCCGTTTTTATATTTTATGGAATATATCTGTTATTTATGTTTAGAGAAGAAAATTGTTCAAATAAAAGTTACTTCTAATATTATTATCTATAAATTTTGCTTTCTGTCAAATTTTCCTGAAATGGTCCGTATTCGAGAAATTTGACAAAATGTGGAAAATTCTGATTTTTAAGAATATTGATGAACTAAAAGTTGTTTGCGATATCGATCTCTATAATTTTTGTTTATACATGATTTTTCTAAAATGGACCGTAATGGAAAAATTGGAGGAAAAGTTCTAAATTTAAATATTTCAGTATTTTCGTTTTCAATGAATATCTATAGAAAAATGTTTCGAGGTAGATGTATGTGGAAAATGCATATATTTAGTTTATCCTCTAAACATTTATAGAGGTGTTGCAATAGATTGTACAAAATAACCGGAAAAAGCTTATAATAACTAGATAGGAAAGTCATGTGTTGGACACATCAGATTTTTTTTTAAGAATGCATTAAGTTATCTGCATAAGAATAAGTGATCTTTAAGAACTATTATTTTATCTTGAGGTAACTTTAAAACCTAAATAAATGTTGTCTTAATATTGTTACTTAAGAAGGGGTCGAGTAGCACATCATTATAAAGGTAAGTTCATTAGTTCAATTTTGTAGCATAAATTTGTTGTTATTTACAGATTTATACGATTTTTCAATTATTTAAGTTCATGTTTCAATAAATTATTTTAATAAAACTAATAAAATTAGTTTTCAAATTAAATGTCACAATTTCTAAAATGAAGCAATGAAGTTATATTATCAAATTCTCTCTAAAATTACCTTTTCCCATTTAGGATTCTAAAGGTTATATCAACCCCCCCCCCTCATAAGGGATTGAACCGCGGGGCTAAAATTATTCAATGAAATAAGGCCCCTTGAAAATAAATTTGACGTGATTTTTGATATTATTTACTGGAAAACAGATATTTAGGGTAGAAAGTTTTCAAACGAACTCCCTGTATATGTAAAACAAAGGAAATTAATAAATTAAAAGTAAGGGGAGAAAAAATTTGATGTCCCATGCCACCCCTAAAAGTTTAATGAAAATAAATTATTAACACCTATTATTTTTGTATCTAGGTATCATTGAAATTAAAATTAAAGTTATTTCAAATTTAAGAGTATTATAAAAAAAAATATTTACCAAAAGTAGATACAATCAAGGTGAGGTACAAAATTCTAATAATCTACTTACAGTTAAGTGATGCATATAAATATTTAAAAAAATATATAATCAAAATTCTCCGATTTTTAATTTACAACAAACAAAATAAATGAATCAAATTTATCTACTGGAATATCCTATTTACCTTCTTCTTTTTTAATACTTTTTAAAGTAGAATCCATAAAAGGCACATTCAAAATGACATAATTCCTTCATTGACGTCTATTAATAATAATTATCTCACTTGGAACTAAAGAAATACGTTTTAATGATATCATTTCATAATTAGATAGTTTGGTTTCATAACTTTGCAACGCGAGTGAATTATGAAAATAAATTTTCAGCAAAGCGACTGAAATAAAAAAAATTCCGAATTTTTAAAATTGTTTCGTTATTATTACGGTTTTGGGTTTCGTAAAGGCACTTTTTTTGGAAATCCGTTTTGTTTTTTTTTTTGTCGCGGATATTAGCGCGGCCGCGTATTTTGTGGTTAAAGCCCACGCAGCTTGGTAGAAGCGCGCTTCGTTTGAGTTAGATAGGGACTGACTGTGAACTGTGAAGTTTACTTTTAGATTTAGAACTTCTGTATATTTATTTCGACGGTGTGTGTCTACGTTGTCTTGTTGTGGTCGATTTCCTCTTAGCACCGATATTTTTAGGTTTCGTGTTCGAACGTAACGTAAGAACGTTTCTTCGATGAAAATCAACGTAAAGATTAAAAGAGAAATATTTTTCATTTACAGTACAGACATCGAGGGTTATATTAGTCATTTAAAGAATTTTAACTAATAGAAAGGACCCCACAATATACTTATGGAAATTGGGTTTCTGTCAAATTGTCTGAATTTTTGATATGTTGTAGATTTTGTCAACCTGAACAAAAGTCTTCATGGACACAAAGTGTCAAAATTAATATTTTGGCAGCTACGGAGCTGCCAAAGTAAATATCCTCTTTTCACATGGAGAGTTTGGGTTTTTGAGGTCGCTGAATTCAAGTCTCATGTCAGATTAGACAAATTGACAGTTGACAGCTGTCAACTGTCAACGACCTCAAAAACCCAAACTCTCAATGTGAAAAGAGGATATTTACTTTTATATTCCTTGTTGCCCGTGAATTGACAGCTGTCAACGGTCAATTTGTCTAATCTAACATGAGGGTTGAATCCAGTGACCTCAAAAACATTACCCTATATATTAGAATAATCAAAATATGCTTTTGACATCTGTAAATAGTATTAAAAATGAATAGTTTTGCAATGGGTCAGGGGAGCTTTGGCAGCTTCGTAGCTGCCAAAATATTCATTTTAGCACTTTGTGCCCATGGATACTTTTGTTCAGGATGACAAAATCTACAACATATCAAAAATTCAGACCATTTGACAGAAACCCAATTTCCATAAGACTATGCGGGGTCCTTTGCATACCATACGTAATAGTTTAATTACTTTTTGTTGCACCTAATTATTAAAGAGCCACTAACTAAGACTAAAAGTTACTTTTCTGTCGTTTTAACTTTTTTTAAAAGGTAGCATTTTACCCGCTAATGATGTTAAAAAAAATCCCCACAAAAAAGTATATGAAAGAAAGAAAAAAATAGTAGTTTGTGCAATGAGAGTGGATATAATGGCCATATCGCGAAGACGAAATAGTTTAAAATTTAATGTTTTTCCTTTATTCGTTTTTGAGTTTTCTTCAAAATTCGAAATTTACACATTTTCTCAAATATCTCGAGTACGGTCCATTTTAGAGAAATTATGTATGGGATAAAAATTATAGAGAATTAGATTACAAACAACTTTTATTTGAACAATTTTTATAAAAAAGTATTTTTTTTACATTTTGTCAAATTTCTCGAATACGGACCATTTTAGGAAAATTTTGTATAGAACAAAAATTATAGATAATAATATTATAAGTAACTTTTATTTGAAGAATTTTCTTCTCCAAACGTAAATAACAGATATTCCATAAAATATAAAAATGACCACCTATAAAGTACCCCCCCCCCCAGATGTTCCGACTCTGCCCAAAATCTAATCAGTTCATTAGACGCTGGAATAAAGCTTAAGTTTAAGAGTATCGGTTCATGAGTTATGCGACACACACACACACACACACACACACACACACACACACACACACACACACACACACACACACACACACACACACACACACACACACACACACACACACACACACACACACACACACACACACACACACACACACACACACACACACACACACACACACACACACACACACACACACACACACACACACACACACACACACACACACACACACACACACACACACACACACACACACACACACACACACACACACACACACACACACACACACACACACACACACACACACACACACACACACACACACACACACACACACACACACACACACACACACACACACACACACACACACACACACACACACACACACACACACACACACACACACACACACACACACACACACACACACACACACACACACACACACACACACACACACACACACACACACACACACACACACACACACACACACACACACACACACACACACACACACACACACACACACACACACACACACACACACACACACACACACACACACACACACACACACACACACACACACACACACACACACACACACACACACACACACACACACACACACACACACACACACACACACACACACACACACACACACACACACACACACACACACACACACACACACACACACACACACACACACACACACACACACACACACACACACACACACACACACACACACACACACACACACACACACACACACACACACACACACACACACACACACACACACACACACACACACACACACACACACACACACACACACACACACACACACACACACACACACACACACACACACACACACACACACACACACACACACACACACACACACACACACACACACACACACACACACACACACACACACACACACACACACACACACACACACACACACACACACACACACACACACACACACACACACACACACACACACACACACACACACACACACACACACACACACACACACACACACACACACACACACACACACACACACACACACACACACACATATCGCGAAAATAGTCAAAACGGATTCAGGGGACCTCAAAACGTAAAAATCCGTCGAAAACTCGAGGTCGAAAACTCGAGGTCGAAAAAAATCATGATTCCTATACTTTCCTTATATCTGTATATAGATAGAAAAGTAATATATCTGTATACAGATAGGAAAATAAAAAGGGGAAGACCAAATACCAGCTTACAACCTCAACTGGATCTCAAAAAAAAAGAAATATCCTTTTTCGCAGATTCCACTGATTCCAGCCCAGGAAATAAGAACGGATTACTTGAATCATTTGCCCAGAATAAGTGAAGAACGACAGAAATGCAAATATTCTGATTGTAAGGGAAAATCCCAGATATTATGTGGCAAATGTTCAGTATTTTTATGTTTAAATAAGGATCGCAATTGTGTTAGCAAATTCCAAGATTTTCACTCTTTTGTTAAGATAAAATCTATTTTTTAAAAGTAAATCTAAATTTATTCTTAATACTTTTGTTTTATTTCCAAAATTTGTGCCAAATTTGGCACATGTCAAAAATTAACATTGTTACTGTTATCTCATTTTGTGCCAAATTTGGCACAAGTCAAAGTTTGATATTTATTTCCTTTAAATATCGATTAATATTTTTTTCACTATTTTTTCATAACTCCTAATCAATCATTCTAATGCATATATTTTTTTGAAAAAAAAAAAAAAAATAAAAAATCATGCAGTAAGGGGTTATAAACTTCAGATCTTTTCTTACAAACAATAACATCCCCTGCCCACAAGTGTGTTACTTAGTTCACAAAATAAAATAATATATGACGGTCTAGTTAAATTCATACACAGTATTAAACTCTAGACTTAATAATTACGCTCTTGTATCTAACTTATGAATAAAAATAAGTAAATTTGATTATAACAATCTTTGGCAAATGAATTTAATCTGATGCACTGCATTATAAAACCTACTTTAGTCTATTATATTATTTTTAAGTTGACTTTGAAACATCAATACTGATAGTTCGTTATTACTAATGTCATTAGTGTTGTAATATTTATTTTTAAAAAAGTCCAGCCAGTTTTTTAATATGACCTTTAGTCGTGAATAAGAGAAGTATTTCGAGTGTTAGATACTTAAAAAATGCATAGAAATGTGAGTTTTAATATTATTGAAGGATACTTAGATAAATTTTTCAAATTAAGAGGAAAATTTACATTACAAACTAAAAGACCTGCGGGGCAACGGTAGTTTAGTAGGTATAAAAATTACAACTTAAGGGTGGAGTCTAAATACTACAAAATTACTTCAGAGACTAAACAAAATCCGCATTCATTCATAATTTTAACAATTGCATGTAGATACGAGGGATACGTATTCCAAACTCGAACGCGAAGTTGGAACATATAGGAACCGAAAAATCAACACGGCTACCGACCTTCATCATTTCTTGAGTGAGTCAGAGTTACCTAAATTAGGGGAACCAGAATCGTATTTGTTTTTCTCGGTGCATTGCGAGATATTGTTATAACGCAGTTCGATTTTTTAGAGGGCTTTACATTATTTTTATATTTTAATTTTGTGAATAGACTTAGTTAGATTAAATTACATTTACGAGTAAAGAGGTGTGAAATATAAATACAAATAACGGAAAAATAGACGATTGGTTCGAATAAGGTAATAGGATCAATTAATACAGGGTATTTATTAATTGAGTGCCAATACTTAAGGGTGTGAATCCTTGGGTGTTAAAGTTTTAAGAAAAAAATAACTATTTTATCATAAGTTTCTTATCACTCTAGATATTTTTATGAAATTTTGCCCAAAAAAAAAGTGTTTCCACTCATGGTGGGTTCCTACCAAATTTCAACAAAATATCAAAAGCAGTTTCAATAAACTGATTTTTATTTTCATCTATAAACCAAATTTGCTCCAAAATAAATAAGGATTTTAAAGATAATTTTGGTTTTTGGAAAAAGCAGTGGCGTATTATAATTTTGTTCAAAAATATTCAGTTCAAACCCAGTACGGACATCACTGGTAAAAATTTAGAAGTCTTTTACGACAAAAAGGCGGGATTGAAAGTGAAAGTTTAGTCTGTTGGTACATAATATACTATATTTATATATCTAATTTTTAATATTACACTGAATGTGACATGGCTTTTTTGTTTGCCTTGTTTTGGATTAACAAAATATTATTTTAATGATTTAAAATAAACTGCCAGTAATAATAATTATCTGTACTTAAACATATACAAAGTGAAATCATAAAACGACGCATCAAGAAAGCACCAAATTATTAAAATTTTAATTTACGAAACAAGTAATAAAAGTAATTTTAAAAAACCGACTTTAAAATCGTGCAGATGCCATCACCACATCTTAACCAA